CTGGTGTTTTAATACGTCGTGTTGACTTCTCTGAGGTACAATCAGGTATGGAAGATATTTTTAATTGGAGTGATAACATGCTTGCTCGTCACGAGAACAGTGTAGGCTTGAGAACTAATATGCACACTATAGATGAGTACTATATGGATATTGGTAGGATCGATTTCATTCGTCAAAATTTTAACTAGAAGAGCGATGTCTAAGGCATAAGTCAAGTACTATACTAAAGTATTTTGTCAAGTTATCATTGAGAATTTTAAGACAAATTTCTTGTTGAATATATTTTCATCGCTGTAAAATACTGACTACGGTTTTGTCAGTTTTTCTTCAGATCTTGTTAACCAAGAAAGCCGAAGAAATAGTCATGGAATATACCTTCGCCTTTTATCTTGAGTCGGGAGAAATCTTCAAGTTAAGATAGGATAAAAACAGGTAGATTCATGAAAACAACTAATCTATTGGTGAATTACCTAACTTTTCTATACGAAAATTTCTTTTTCATAGGAAAAGGTCCATGTGATCGCAAAGCTGCAGTGATCAAGGGAGAAACACGACGATCTGTAAACGAAAAAAATGACTGTTGCAACAGCGTTCAGTTTGTCAATGCAGCCAAATCTACCAAACATCTTTCGATTTTCGCTTGCAACGTTACCGACGTCAACAAGAAAAAAGTTACTTTACCAAATATCACGAAATATAATAATATCGAATTCGAAATCTCACCTGTCACCCGTGCAAAGAATTCTATATCAGCTAACAATCAACCTGAATTCGAACTTTCAATGACAACTTGGAGAGCGTTTCAAGTCGGTGCTGGAAAAAAAGTTAAATATTCTAATCTGAAATCAACAGTCAATACTATTGAAACGCTCGAAGTGATATTTAAACATTTAAATAACAACTGGAAACTGGAAAAGAAACAGCACGGTCAGTACTCAAGCAGAGCGGAACATCTTTCAAAGATAGTTCACATGCAAAAACTATGCCGTTCCTCGGCTGGTTAAGATTTTAGTACTTACATAGAGATTACATGCGTCAGACGAGTTAAGATAATGAGTGCATCATGGTCATCGTTAACATTTTGATTTGCTTGGATCACAGACTAAGTTGAATTTGACATCATTGAATCGATATCAGGTATATATACATATGTATATGTAAGATGGGATGGGTGGAAGAAATACATGTTTTTTAAAACAAACATTTTCAGAGCTTTCCTTTGTAAAGTATTCAAACGGGAAATGTTGAAATGAAACCTTTTTGTTTGTAGACAGCTTACAATTAGCTTTGAGAAGTTTCGGTGTTTTTTACATTCATTCGCTATCGATTTCGTATTTTCAGACGATGACAATGACGACGACGAAGAAAATCCGAATAACAACACATCGTCGGCGGAGAACGACATGGAGGTTGATCAGCTCTCTCTGCAACCTCGTCTGTTATCCTCCGGTTTTTATCTTTTCGACTGTCCCCATCCAAAATGCGTAAAACAATTTCGCCGGTATTTTAACCTTGACAAACATCTAACGATTGGAAAGCATATCTTCGCGCCAACAACAGTTCCGCTAATCGATAAAGCTAAATTATTTTACAAGGGATTAATCGAAAACGATAGCAATCGTGTATCATTCTCTTTGAATCAATTCAATAGTCTATTATCGAAGACTACATCATCAACCTCGACTACACGATTACAAGGTTGGGCCCTGCCGCAGAAAAAACCACCCACGCACTACAGTATCGATGTGGTAAACTTCTTAGAAAGTGCATTCAATGAAGGTGTGGTTACCGGAAATAAATGGGATCCTGCTGCATTATCTCAGGTATGCTATGAGAACATTAGACCGGAATAAATAACAAAATCGTTTCTATCTGAAATAGTTATTTGAGTAGTCAAAGCTATTTCAAAAGAAACCGAATGTTATTCTCAATGAAGACATATTTACATTTCATACAGATTGTTCGCGTGTTGTATGGGCAGTCTTTTATGTATTTTAGGAAATGGTTTTTGCCAACTCAAACGGACAACCGCGATTCAATGAAAATGATTTCTTATCTCCTGAACAGATCAAAGCATACTTTTCCAAACTGAAAGCAAAGCGAAGTAAAGAGTGTACTCAATCTCAATCACAGCCATCGACACCACTCCCAAGCAGCTCCAGTAATAGCGTAACCGATAAAAATACACCGGTCAAGGAAAGCAAAAAGATTATAAACGATGACGACTCAGACGAAAATGAAATTTCAGATGAACAAATCGAAGATTTTGATTCGGCGGTGGAAAACAGTCACCTTGGTTATATATGTTCAGTGACTGAGAGTATTCTGCAATCTGGAAGCAGTTCGTGACATATAAAGAGGCATTCTTTTGTTTTTAAACAATAGTACATACCCTTTGTGTTGCAAAAGATCACACAAGAATAAAAAATTCGCACTGAAATATTAACCTTTTAGAATTTGAAAACCTTCTAACCTCATTTCAATATGTCTACATATCTATAGGATTTCGTTTCTCTTGAAAAATCTCGAATCGCCATATGCATACACACGTTGCGATAATCTGATATAACGTTGTTGCTCAATGAGTAAATATCTGAAAAGCTTTCAACAATTTTTTTCCGATTAACTGACGACATGTGACTTACTCCATATTTTCATTTTGATAACTACATTTATAACGCCATCCATACAGTATGCAGCCTTAAAATATTTTCTCATAAACAGAAACGGTTCTGCTAATCCTATACAGTATCGCAATAGCCGCTTCTCTTTTGACAGCTTTCACGAATTGTACAACTAATAAGCGAGTCTATCAATGCAAAGAGCATCGATTATAATTCGAGTTGCTATTGTTGTCACATCACCAGACTTCCAGAGTATATGGAATGTCCACCTTTTGAAGCGTTATATATCACACCCTATCAGTTACCAAATGCTGAAAACCCGACCTCGATAGCTTTTACCATTCTTGCGCTATGATCAAAATAGTGAGTGTATTTCTTACCTGTCTGACAGTTGTAGGCTGATGGGTGTATCAGCGCCATATTCTTGTGAAAAGTCATTGTATAACAACCTGTCTGATGAAGTTCTATACTTTTCACGTGCATTTAAGTTTGATTTTGAATTCTATCCAGAGAGATTTTGACATTTCTAGCAATATACTCAATTGCTGTTACGAGCGTTTGAATTTATTATTACGACCGTAACTATGCTTTGCGGGTGTTGCGTACCCGTAGTGTCTTATACAAAAATGTGCGCCGGAACTAGACCTAGCTTCAGTAAAAAATTCAGCGTGGGATCTTCTACCCATCGTGAGAAAAGTCTAAAATACTACCCGACACTCACTTCACTTTTTCGAATTCTCAATCAATATTTGGCGTGTAATACTTTTTTAATCACATATTATTATCATTCAAATAGAGTCAGTTTTTAGCCTGACACGTATTCTATCGAATGAAACGTTCCCGAGCTCAAACAGTCAAGCCGTTCTCGAAATAATCGAAAAATACTGAGGTGCTCTCAAAACAGCGATTTTCGATAGTAAAAAATAGCCCCAAAAACTAGGGTTAACAGAAATTTTTCATAGGAAAGACCTATAAGTTTAATATTTTGCACTCTTTTATGGTTCTATTAGACCTTTCGTTTTAGAGAATAAAATCGAAAAAAAAATTTTTTTCCGCGGCGCGATATGCATAGAGTAGGGGTCTCCTCTGGCGGACTCTCTCTTAAAATCTAACCTTCTTTACGCGATAAAACTGATGATGATTCTGATGCATCTGATTGAGAAATATTATTTTTGGTTTTCTTTCATGCCAAACAGGTTAACCGATAAGATGAGAAAGAGGTGTAATTTATCTGATAAACTCTTGCTTTAGATTGCAATAAACGTAATAAGTTTTGAATTTGATTTGCATTACGTTCAGCTCTACGTGTACGTGTATCTTATTCGATTTTGTCGAAGAAAATCTTAAACTAGTTTGAACCATACGATACGAGATTACATTTTCTTTATGTTTTAAACATCGACGAGAGATTGTTGTGAGTGTTTCAACACGTCTATTTTATGTCGCAACGAAACATACTGGCACAGCTAAATATATAAGGAAAAAGATTTTAAAAAATCTCATATTTTCATTTGAAAAAAATTAATATCATTGAACGTTCAACAATACATCGTGCTCCTTTCGATAGCTACATTAATCTTTCTCTTTCTCGACGATATTGTTTCCCTTTGTATACAGTGCATCGCTAACATCCTTCGTCATTATGTCTCTCTCTCTCTCTCTCTCATTTTATATTTATCTTTTTCACATGTTTTTTCTCTCTCATGCGTAAATAGACGTTAATGATTGGAGAAAAGAGAATACTATGTGCTGATGTTGACGGAGAAATGTTTGATAATAAAGTTATTGTGTGATGACCATGATATACAATTGTTGTTGGATTGTTATTTATTTCCTGATTAGCTGTTTGATATTCGTGAATGGTAAATAACAATTGCTGATCAGACAATAAACTTTCAAGTGTAAGATCAATTTCATCATCCGGTTTTTATCTGGATAACCATAATGATTATTATGTCGAACTGGTGGTTTAACTTTTGGATTTGATGATATTTGTTCTACATCAGAAGAAGTTTTTAATTCGAGAGATTTTGTACCTGATTGTGGTTTACCTGTTTAAGTTTATCTTTCAAAGAAAACTTTTGTGACTTTTCTGCACACTTGTTTTGATATAACTTCTTTATTTGGAAGTGTCATTACTTCATTGGTTTTACTCCGTGCAGCAACAGAACGAGCAGTAACAGGCATTTGTTCAATAATTATTACCCTCAACATAAAACAGTTTATGATTATGACATAAGTGAATAGTTTCTCTCAACAAAATCGATAACCATTTCCGTTTTCATAATTCATTTTGTCGAAAATAAAGTAGACATTCGCCAACTGGCAAAAGTCTTATTGGCGATGTTCGGGTAAGCCGGTAGAACTCGCAGTATAGGAGAACGGCTTAAAAAAGTTCATTCGTAAGTTCTCTTTTTGCTGAGATACTGTGTTTGAACAGNATAGCTTGCATTTTATTTTATGATTACTTTTCGAAAAATAATGAAATATTTATTCTAAATAACTGATAACGAACTGACGCAGTTCATCTAAAGCCGTGTCTTTGATTGCTGACAATACGCAGCTTGGTTGGAAGTTATAAATATCTGGCGACATCTATATAAACCTTATTCTATTGAATAAAATTTGAAAGAAAATTGACAGTTCTTAACTGGTACATCCGTGATCCGTCTGCATAGCAAGGTATTGTATCTTATACGTGCAGCGTTTATTAGATGCATGCATGCATGCCTAATCCTTGAGTAGGTGAAAGATAATATCGAAAATGCAAACAAATTATGTGACTTTTTTTGCGATCTAAATACTTTTCGTGAGGACTCTGACCGTTGTTTTGTTGAATTTAAATCAAACATAACTTGTATTAGTTTTGTGTTCGGTTCTAGATTATTCAAATACTTTTCTCATCAAAAGGATGGACTACTCAACCGAACCATGCTTTTTCCAAGCCGATCACATACCTGTAGTTGTTTTATTGTCAACGATGCTGTATTCTACACGTTCTTCTTATTTAGGTATCTTGTGATGGTGATCGAACTGAACTTAGTGCTCTACTGTTCGGAACAGCTCCACGGAGTGAATTCCGATCGATGCTCGAATACTTATTATATCGAGCCGGCTATTTTCATTTGCAATATACAAATTTATGTCAATACAAAATCTGTAAAAATCACTATGATTACCTGACATCCCGTGAGCGTAACGACAGCTGCAGACTGTGCAAGACGGTTCGAGGATGTCCGACAGCTGGCACAACTCATCTTCGAACAGTGACTAAATCATTAGCTTTACAAGTATGGAAAGAAGGACGTCCGATGTATACCTGGGCTGTATACGCCAAGCCCGTATGCAATAATTGCAGAAAATATGTTGAAATAATGAATGACACAACTACCATGCGTTCCACTAGTGAACATTGGTTTGGTGAGTACATGAAGTAAATCATTTTTTTAACATATTTTGAAACTGGAGCCAGAAAAATAAACAATGCGACTGTCGAGATCATCTCAGCTAAAGTTGTAAATGTGAAGGGACAGATGAAATAATACTTTTGAATATTAATATTTTAACTTATAACTGAAATTCCTATACAAGAAAAACTGTATAAATCCGTTTAGATTGGATATACGACGAAAGCATTGTATACCTACCCAGTCCATCTGAACCGGCGTCACAACATAGCAATTATGAGCCACAGCTCGAAGATTTGACGAACTCTCAGCATCCAGACTATTTTGAATTACTCAAACGGTGTCTTGTTGAAACCGGATTTACCGGTCGAGTACAAAAAATCTCGTCTTTCACTAAACTTACTGAGCATAGTCGACGTAACGTTCAAACTCAAACGCTGAAAATTATTCGACATACACTGAAAATTCTTCTCGCAAATGATGCTGAAGAAGTATGGAAGGATATTATCGACACCTATCAATCGAATTCTTATGAAGATCAAAGGTAGAATGTCTTGAAATACTTGTCTTACTTAGATCTACAGTCATTCAGACACGGAACGATCGGGCTGAGGAGAAGTTTTGCTTAATATTCCGCTCGAATAGGCATTTGATCCGAAAGAAAACTGATAATGTTGGGGTTGCTAAGGTGTAA